AGGTAATATAGAAAAGTTACATATGTAGCCAGTTGTACACTCATCTAATAGTTCATTATAGATATGTCTATATAAAACATTATCTACTATAAGTATTAATAAAAAGCTTAAACCAAAGAGGTCACCTTAATACCGAAAAAAAAAAATAAATAAACTTTACTAACTGGAAACAACAACAAGGACTTAAGCCTCCTTATTTAAGACCTCTACTCCAATCAAATCAAAGCAACAAAAGAAACTCTAATCGCAAAAATTATATTTACTCTTGTTTATATAGACAACCTAACCAATTACACTCAAATTCTAATACCTGTTTACCTATTGGCTATGCTATCTGTAAAATTAATATCTGGATCATTCTTTGAATCAAATACAATATTTCATATAATCATATTCTAAACTTACAAATCTAGATAAGTCTTAACCATTCTAGTAGGTTTAGGTCACAAATAATATATATCTGAACTTTTATTCTTAAATGTAGTTTTTCTTTTATTTGTACTTAGAGTAGCTATATAGTTAGCAGTTTAATAGTTCAGCCCTGATTGCAAGTATTGGTTTTAGCTATAGCATTTATATAAAATTACTTTTTGTACATAGCAGCTCCATGTAGCTACTAACTTTTAAACTTCAATAAAAATATAAGCAAGACCTTACCTTAATACCAAAAAAAAAAACAAAATCAAACTTATATTAAATTAAAAAAGATAAAAAAGTTGAATTGGAAAATAAAAATATATAAATAATATGTTTTTATTTAAAGATTTGTTAATGCCACCTCTTTGTATAAAATATTTAATCTCTGACCTTTTAGACCCTAATTATTAATTAGGGTTAGATTATATAAAGGGTAGTATTAATAAAAATAAAAGATGGCATTAACAAGTCTCTTTTACTTATTTTTTTAATAAATTATTAAAATGCTTGATGAAAATAATTAGATTTTTTTAAAAAAGTAAATATATCTAAAAAAATCAAGATAATTGGCAATTTTCTAGTTTAACTATTATAAAATGTAAAATAACAATAAAGAATAGATGGAATAATAAAAACAACTTAAATAATTATATAAAACATTAAAATTTTAAAAAAATAAATGTTTTAAAAATAAAAAAATATGAATTAGATAAATTATTTGATATCCTTAAAAAATCCATGAAAAAATAAAAATACATTTAAATCATTATTTAAAGATTTTAAAATAGATAATATAAAAAATTTAGATAATAAATTTTTAGCACAAAAGCAAAAAAAGAGGATCTTTTAAAAGATATTTTATATAGAAGAAATACATTTTAATATAAACTAAATGATCCTAATAATAAATATAATATTAATAATTTAGATCCAAATTAATATAAAAAAATATTAAAATCACTTGATAAAACACTAGAATGAAAATTTAAAAAATAAGAAAAAAAAGTAATATCAGAATTTCTAAACAAATTTTTGGATAATTTCTATAAAGAAAAGATAATAAAAATTAAGTAAAAAAAATTTTGATAGTTGTTAAAAGAAAAAGATCCTTTAGCTAATTTAGATAAATTAAGAGGTTATACTTTAATTAGTAAACCTAAATATGAAATAAGAGTAACTAAAATTAAAAATTCTAAATTTGCTAAAAATATTAATAAAATCAAAATATCTGGTGCTGATATATTTAAAAAAGAATCAGAACTTGATAAATTATTAGCTAGTACATATATATTATTATATATTTTTAATTTAATAGAATTTGATATAAAAATATTAAAAAATAATGATAATAGTTATAATACAAATAGCTTTGCTAAAATAAAAGATACTACTGTAAAACTTAAAAAAGACAGAAAATTAAAACATAAAATAGTTAATGTTAATAAACTAGAAATTCTTTCTATTCTAACTAGTAGTGCTAAAACAACTAAATTAGTTAGATGTTTATTTTTTTTTTTTGGTATTAAGATGAGGTTTTGCCTTTATCTTTATTAATAATTTGTTATAGACAACTACATGAGTTGATACAGGCCAGAGCCAATTTACAAATTTTTTACAAGAATGAGACTCAGACTATAGATGAAATTATTATCTAA